TTTAATATTATTGGGGTGATGTTTCGAATTGTGTGGGTGTCTTCAACAACATAATTTCTTGTGAATGAGGACTGCTCGTTATCAACCCTGTAACAAACGAGAATAAGTTCGTTTTGAACACAAAACTTTCATTGCAGTTTTCACGAAACATACAGTTCCCTAAACATCTCTATGATTATTTCTTCTTCTTCGGTTATAACTTCAAAATTTCGTAAATAGTGCCTTGCAAGTTTTTGACGTTCGGTTTGATTTTGTTCCTCACACGGGATCTGCAGATACTCAGAATTAGAACTGAAAACTGAAAACTGAAATGTGCCTCCTCAAAAATTAAATATATTGCTTTAACGATGTTTAAAAACAGATTACTAATCTTATCCGGGATCGGTGCATATGGATACAGCCTACGAAACTCGGCAAAGAGCTCCGCCCATAATTCGTCATCAAAATATTCACATAATCCGAGGGGACTTTGTTCTTGAAATACGAATACGTGGCTTATAATCCTGTAAAAGAGGAAAAGCTTAGTCATGTCTTCATAACTTATATTACTATATGATACTTACAGTTCTTCTGTAGCACTCAAAGTAACTTCCATCGACTCACATTTTTTAACCACGATTGCACGATATTCACGACATATCTCAGTGATGTCGATGTCGTTTACGATCCACTGGAAAGAATAACAAATAAAAAAATAATTAATATTTCATTCATATCACGTCATGCATTAAAAATGCTTACTCGAATTGAATCTTCGTTCAGGTGCCATTCTGGAACACCGGGACCAGTGAGGTAATCCATAGAATAACTACGGTTTTCTACAATTATATATTCTTCGCTAATATTGCAATCAGGAGTAGATGGAGAAGATGGAACATATAACGAAGTTGTTGTCGTTGCAGACGGGACCTCATCCGAGTTGACTGTTTTGATCTGCAAAAGCACCTGAGAAGTGAGAAGACGTTTTCTAGAAAGCCATACATTAAATTCAAATTGGTTGGTGATCGTTCTTTGTAGTAAAGATCTCTCTCTTGTTGCATCAAGAATATATTGAGTCTAAATAGACCTAACCTTCAGTATGGCAACATAAAGATCGATAATAATGTTTCACAATATACAAACCCGTTCGAGATAAATCTGATTTCCAGTTTATTCTTCATCAGATTAATTCGAAAAATTAGTAAGTATTGTCAAAACAGAAACTACCAAATTCCGAAATTAACCTACTTGACTCAGCTGAGCTTCCTCCTCAAGCAACTTTTTCTCTGCGTGAATGTTTTGACTCTTGGCTTGTAAATCCCAAAAATGATTTATCTGTTTCGAATTCTTATCATTCTTGAAAAAATAATGATTTAGTGAAAAACTATTCTGCTTTGCATATGAGGAAGAACATAGATCCAACCACAGAGAAGTAAGTAACCTTTCCCGGAGTCTTTCCCCTACGAACGAGCAGTCCGCAAAGTAGTCCGTGAATTACTACATACTCTTATAATTCCCAGACAAACAAGCAGTCTTTCCCTTACGAACGAGCAGTCCGCAAAGTAGTCCGTGAATTATATACTTCAATGTGCCTCACACTCCCACACCGCTAAGATATAAAGAACTATATATTGTGATAAATGAATGATCTTTTAACCATTTTATCACCTTTTGCCCGACGTCAGATATTTCGGCATAATGCTATTTTATAGCCTTCAGTTCATTTTTGTACCGGTTATGCTCCGTCACCTCATCTTCCAAATCTTGTGCGAGTAATCGGAAATTTAAGAATTTCATAAGTGATGGCTCCTTCGATTGTTCCCAAAAGACTACATATTTTTACGAACATAAGTTACGCTATATTCGTTATATTGTCACAAGGAAACACAGACGGTTTGTCTTACCGAGGTATTTAAGATCTTCGAGACATTCAAATGACAAGTGCATTTTTTTTACTTTTATTTGCGAAAATTACGAAAAATTAACAGTCCAGAAAGCGTAACAATCTAAGGAAAAATTATACGTATACGCGAAGTTGGAGTTTGAAAGATTCAAAGAAACTCTTAAGAATATCAAACAGAAGTTATTTGAAAGTTTGAAGTGTAATATATCTGAAAGCAAAATTTACAGGATCGATTTTGGAATACGCTTTTGGAGAAAATTACGTTAATATGAAAATCTGATCAACTGCTTCTCCATAATCCATATGTAAAGATCATCAAGGGGCTATACAATTTTGACTTGTTCTTATGATACATGTAATAATTACTATAATACTAGGAAACGGAAACCGTTGTGAGTCCGGAGCGAAATTTTATATATGTATTTAAGAATTTTACAATTGGTAAAAAAAAAAAAAATAATAAATATTTATTAATTATAAGGTATATGCTATTTAATCAGCCGATTGGACAATTGTGACCATTCCGATTCTTAATAAATGTTAATAATTAATTGTATTATATATTTTATTTGTAATAATAAATTGTAAAAAAAAATTGTTGTAATTGTAATAATAAAAAAAAAATTATATAAAATTGTAAAATTGTTTTATGATGATACTGCTTATGCTTTAGCGCCTGATTCGAAGAATTGTTCTGGCTCGACTAGGTGAAGAGGTTTTTGAATGTAAATTAAAGATAAGTATATCTTAGTAAATATCTCTCCAGCTATGGAACAAAGCTTACTAATCGTTTCTGGTCTTAGTGACGGTAATAATAAATTTGGGTTAGGCGCCGATATCGAAGATGATGATGTGTTTTCTAGTAAATTATATGATGGATGGGATTATAAAAAAGATTTTGGTGAAGATGCTTGGAAAAAGCTTTATCGAGATCGGGAAGCTCGTCAACGTTTTATCCTTCTTAGGCTATTTACCATGCGCCTTTCCAATATATCTGATCAAGCAAAAAATGGATTATTTATCGCATTTTCTAGATCTAATTCGTTTGGTGTATTAGAACACAACGCATTATTGGATGCTCTAGCCCATCCTGTGAAAGGTTTAAATCTTTTCGAATACGATGAGCTCGGGTTTGATCTAATAAGCAATGCAAAGATTCAATAAATTAAGTCTAATGAGTAACTGACATGGTTGATATTATTTTTTTCACAATGGGAATTATAAAAAATAATGCAATTCACACGTCACACAGCCCTTATTCTTTCGGCAATGATATCGTACTGCGCATTTTTTCAGGTGATCGATTTCACATGACCGGTCTAAGCCACAATCGCGAACTTGAATTTATTACTTGAAGAGTTACAGCTAAGACAATATTTTGTTCCATTTTTATACCATTCGCATGTAATCCATAATTCCCATGTATTCCAGCACAAATAGGACATGGTGAGCTCCATGGCTGAGCAAATGCAAAATTATAATTATCAATCCCTCTAAAACTATTTTGGAATTTTAAGTATGTGATATGCTCTAACACGGATTTGATAATTAATTCTGGATTAGGTTTTGTTTCGTAAATGATAGGCTTGAAATCAGAGGCTTGAACTATCATGGTTCATGTCCAGTTTCTTTTTTATATCTTTTGTATAATTTGGTACGAATTCGGGGGTTAATATTTTATACTGAATATCAAAACTTTTGGATACTAGACAAACAAACTCCTTAATTTTTTGTATCCTTTTAGGGATAACGATTTCCGGTTTTTCATCGTACCATACTTCAAGAAGGGAAATTCCATTATCTTGACATATGCATCGTTTTTGCCGATCACGGTTAACAATATTTTCGAGTTTTTTAATATCCTTATACCAGCTAGTGTTATGAAGCCGATGCTGAGCCCCCCGCACCTCCAATGCAATTCGATATTTTTGGAAGAAGGCATCAAGCTCTAATCCTTGCATGAAAGATGGTCGATATTCAACTACAGGTTCTTCGTTAAGAACTTCCTTAGCTATCTGGATGCATCTAGTCTGAAATTTGCGGTTT